AAAAAAAAAACACACACACATTCTAATGAGACTTAGAGAACTATTCCAAGCGCTATTCAAAATTTATGAAAAGTAACGGAACATACTTACTTGGCTGGGTGTGCAACACACCAACTTGGATGGTAAACATAATAATTGACACCCATTTTTTTCAGTGCCTGATGCACTGCTTTTAACGGTTTTCGACTGAATATCGAATAAACTTGCAATGTTCGTGCTCTAAAAAGTAACGTCGCATGAGGCAAACAAATATTAGAAGTGAAATTAGAAAAAAGGGGAAAACGCGACAGAAAAGAGCTGCTAAAAAACGTAGGAGATGGACATAGAAAAAGACCAGTTTTTACACACGCACGTCGAATAACCTCTAATACCTCTATCATCCAACCTATACACCCGAAAATGAAATTATTTACGTGAACAGGAATTATGCTCTGGCAAAGCTGTCAATGGCTTCCTTTCCTGAAACTTCTACAGAAGCATCCCGATGGAAACTGAAATTTCCAACCCCTACCAGTAATAATTTATCGTTGAAAGAATAAACGAATCGTTACGGGTTTGGTTTTCCCAAAGGAGCTATCGAACACTCAGGCGCCAAAGCATGCGAGTATCGCTACTTGTCATTCAAATACCTGGCAGGTTTTGTTTGTATGTAGATACTATAATACTAACGTAGATACTATAATACTAACGGATTTTCGTTCAAAAAGCGCACAATCCCGAAGAACAGAAGCAGGAATTCATGCGGAAATGCAAGCAATATTGTCACGAGAAAAGGTACAGTGACGAAACGGAAGGGATTTTAAAGAGCTTTCTCAATCTCAGCCAGCAGCCCAGCGCGGCCTGAAAGCAACAACCTCGACGCAATGCTGAAGCGCAACGATGTAGCAGGTCATGGCAGGCCGGTAAAGCGGCACCGTACTTCGTCCAATTTGACCTGGGCGCCAAAATCACTCTGTCGGCCTGCTTATTAAACGATGATTCAGAAAATGTGAGGTAATGAATGCAGCCCAAAAAGAAAGGTGATCAAAACTGCTGTACTTGGCGGCGGGAGTCCTAAATGTAAGCTAATAACTAATAGTATTTTGAATTAATTAGGGGCAAAATTAATAAAATTTCCACACTATTAAAAGTTTGGAGGATTCGTGACACATTACAGAAAGCTCAGAAAAATGAATTCACTTCCTTATAGACTGCTCTCCTGGGCTTTCTATGACTATTAGCTTCTAGAATGCTAAATTTGTAGGGAGTCCGTTGTTGCACACGCTGAATTCTCGATCCTAAATGAGTTGCATGTGGAACCAAAAAAAAAATGAAGACTCACAGGTTCCACGTATGAAGTAAAAAACAGATTAAAAACAGAGGAAATTCCATAGAAGATCCAAAATTCACCCTCCCCCTTGATTATATGTTCGGCAGTAAATAAAACCGCTGAAGAAATTTTCACCGGTTTATCAGTCGTATCATGATATGGAAAAAATTCTAACATACCTCAGATCAGCATCTTCGTAATGTGGGTGATTTACGATTGGTCGTCCAGTCGACAGCTTGACATTGGCCATTAGTGCCATTGGGCCCGCGAAAACGGAATCTGAATTTCTCAGTGGCAGAAAATTCCACTTACGCACTTCATTTTAATTTGGGAAAAGGGAACTTCACTGCAGTCACTGAAATGGCGCAGTTTATACCACAGAGCTGAATGATAAGATATAAGCACAAACCAGGCTTGGTATTGTGCTGAATCCAATCGAAAAGTGCTTCTTGCGCCGGATTGCTATATTCCCCACGAATTTCTTGCTGTTTCCGGATATTAAGAACTCCCTGATAAGCCATAACAGCGATTAAGGTAACAATTAAAATCCGGTGTACAAATGCTGGTATTTTGAATTGAATAGCGTGCACCACAAACTAAATGTTTTGCTCATAAATCTCACCAGAATAAGAGAACAATTAAAAATTATTGTTGAAAAATCGAATGACCAAGAAGGTTGGATGTCCTAAACTGCTTTTGCTGTTAAATGTTGTTACTAAAAAACACTTCAAAACTGCAGTTTAATTTTGGAAAACGTAAAAAAAGACCACCTCATGATTAGCTAAAATAGCCGTGATAATGCATAAATGAGGAGTCATAAAAACCTTCAACCGCATGATAAGACCAGCCATTACCGTAAAACAAACACATTGAACGATGTTGAAAACAATCTGAAATGAAAAAATTTTTTAAAATTAAAAGAACCACCTCATAATCAATTTTAAAAATATTAAATTCTCTATGCTAGCCTTGTTTTTTCACAAAGAACGTTGGTTTTGCTGTTTTAAATTTTTTCGAACGCTGCTTTCGACATTTAAAATCTTTTCTAGCTGTGATTTTCCCGCTTCAAATCTTGTTTCAGACTGAATGACAGTTGTAAATCAAAAATGGAAAAAAGCCCGGTTTTTAAAAGTACCTTAGGTTAAAAAAAGAAATTGTAT